TCGGGATCACGCCATTACTCCCCTACCGCGCCCCGCGCGTTCCAAGGCCCGGGAGCCCCTAGATCAGGGCACTCCTCGCAGCTTCCCTCCAACCCCACTAAACGGGCCTCCAGGGCACAAAGACGGCACCGCCGTCCCCGAGGCCGTCCGGTACCCGCCCCAGCGCCCCAGCTCCGCCGGAGCGTGCGAGGGCCTCCCGCGGCCGCCCCTCCCCCACCGCAGGGGCGAGGCCGCGCGCCCACCGGAAGCAGCGGGCGCGGGGCGGGCGGCGCTGATTGGCCGGGGCGGGCCTGACGCTGCAGCCGCTATAAGAGCCAGCGAGCGGCCCGCTGCGCCAGACGTTCTTCGCCGAGAGTCGCCGCGGTCTCCTGCTTCAACAGTGCTTGGACGGAACCCGGCGCTCGTCCCCCACCCCGGCCGGCCGCCCACAGCCAGCCCTCTGTCACCTCCACACCGCGTCCTCGGACCGCCCCAAGGCCCCCGCCGCCTCTCCAGCGCCGCGCAGCCACCGCCGCCGCCGCCTCTCCTTAGCAGCCGCCATGACGACCGCATCACCTTCGCAGGTGCGCCAGAACTACCACCAGGATTCAGAGGCCGCCATCAACCGCCAGATCAACCTGGAGCTCTACGCCTCGTATGTTTACCTGTCCATGGTGAGTGCGGGCGGGCCAGGGCCGGGGCCGGGGCCGGGGCCGGGGCCGGGGCGGGGGCCGGGCGCGGTTCCCGGGGCGCGCGCTGGGGCGGGCCGGGGGTGTGGCCGTCCGCGGGCTTCCCCGCCTCCCTGCGCCCTTCTGGAAAATGGAGGCTGTTCGAGGTCTCCAAGGACTTCTCTGGCGCGGGAAGTCCAGGCAGCTGGTTCTTGGCTGTCCCCTGGGAACGCTCCCTCCTAGGCCAGGGCCACCTCTGCACACCCTTCTTTTTTAAAAGAGCGCTTGGCGTCCAGAAATCCTGGGTTGTAAGACTTGGCAGCAGCTCCTGCAGGAAACCTGCGGTTAGGAAGGTGGGGTTTTGCACTCCCATTTTTTCCTCTGCCTCTGGCATTTGGCCTTGAGACCCAGCGTTTTTTGCTTAGATATCCAACTCCCATCCGCCTAGGTACGGCGAGCCTGCACGGTAACGCTGTCGAATAGCCCCCTTGGGGGCTGGCGCGTAGTGGCTTATCTTGTGCCCTCTTGAGCAGCCGTATACACCTCTCTGCTCTGCTTATCTCTTAAGTCCCCCGCTTGCATTGAAGCATATCTCTAGAAATCGCCCCTTCTGCAGTCACCGAAGTGTCACCTGATCTTGCGCCTAGGGAACTTAATTTATCTTTTATGTATCTTACTGTGAGAGGTGTGGAGTTCTGACCTACTAATTGAACCCCTAGCTCTTGAGTAAAGTCAACCGACAGTTACTGGGCAATAAATTTTTCGGTGATCAGTGGAATCAATTTTCCCAAATCCTGGTCTTAGGCGGTGTCCTGAGAGTCTTCCTTAGAGTTGCCTTGTGATTGTCCAAACTGTCCCAAGAATAGATGTGTTCCAAATGGATTTGAAAACAAGCCTGTGTTTCCGTGACTGTTGCTGCCCTTCAGAAACACTTGACTACATCAAATGCCTAAAACCAAAAATCAAATTTTTGCAATACAATTATATTATAAAAGTATATTTACATCAATATGCTGTCCATATTTGTCACCTTGCATGGGAGTTTTTAATTTTATAAATAAATCCGCGGTATAGCTGGCCAGCTCCTGAGCTCTTTGTTTTAACCATGCTTTAACGTGGTTAATGGGGGGGGGGGGGGCGGGCAGAAAAGGACTTACGTGCAGTCAGTACTCCCGCAGCCAGCCTCTCATAAGTGAGGTTTGGCACGGGCTGTAAGAAGTGTTCTCTGCACTAATACAGATCCTTAAGACACTCCGTGTTCGAGGAAATGCCCATCATATTCTAAAGGTTCCTTGAAAGAAACTTTCAAAGGTCAAGTTTCCGTTTTCTATTTTAGAATAGAAGCACTACTGTTCGGTTCAATCCATCTACCCCCAATCTCCTTAGGCACTGATTCCGTCATGCTGTGCTTTGAGAAAGGAAGCCTAGGCTCACAAGACCATCTCGCCTCCCCGTAGATTGTCAACAGCCACTTGTCTGGGAATCCCTAGCATAACATATTCAGTGTTCCCCTTTCAGTCTTACTACTTTGACCGCGATGATGTGGCTTTGAAGAACTTTGCCAAGTACTTTCTTCACCAATCTCATGAGGAGAGGGAACATGCCGAGAAACTGATGAAGCTGCAGAACCAACGAGGTGGCCGCATCTTCCTTCAGGATATCAAGGTAAACAAAAGAACTACGGCTGTCATACTTGGTGATCTAGTGGTGCCGGGATGTCCGAAATCACTCCAACTATAGCAGTTGCCCTTGGAAAGTGATGATATGATGATACAGTGGGCTTTTGCCTTTTGTGCGTTTTTAGGCTTAACCGTCTAAATAAACTAAATTAGGCCGATATTAATACCTCCTTTGCCAAAGCATGGTGGTTAGGTAAGACAGGCTTTACTGATGTGTAGGTTAGTTGATAGAGATGCATTCACCTGTTCTCTTCATTTAGAAACCAGACCATGATGACTGGGAGAGCGGGCTGAATGCGATGGAGTGTGCATTACATTTGGAAAAAAATGTGAATCAGTCACTACTGGAACTGCACAAACTGGCCACCGACAAAAATGACCCCCATGTGAGTATTGGAAACCCAGGAAATAAATGGAGAAAATCGTTTGCTTTAGGGATTGGGAAAGCTGACTACTAACTGTCTTCCCCATTGTTTTCTAGTTGTGTGACTTCATTGAGACACATTACCTGAATGAGCAGGTGAAATCCATCAAAGAATTGGGTGACCACGTGACCAACTTGCGCAAGATGGGAGCACCCCAGTCTGGCTTGGCAGAATATCTCTTTGACAAGCACACTCTGGGAGACAGTGATAATGAAAGCTAAGCCTTAGGCTAATTTCCCCATAGCCACGGGGTGACTTCCCTGGTCACCAAGGCAGTGCATGCATATTGGGGTTTCCTTTACCTTTTCTATAAGTTGTACCAAAACATCCACTTAAGTTCTTTGTACCATTCCTTCAAATAAAGAAATTTGGTACCCAGGTGTTGTCTTTCAGGTCTTGGGATGAGTCAGACATCTATCTAGGCGAGCTTCCCGATTCTTTAAGTGCCTTTCAGTGTTCCCCACCACCACCACCAGTCGCCCATGCTGGAGTGCAGTGGCAGGAATCTCGGCTCACTGCAGCCTCCACCTCCTGGGTTCAAGTGATTCTCCTGCCTCAGCCTCCTGAGCAGCTGGGATCACAGGCGCATGCCACCATTCCCAGCTAGTTCTTGTATTTTTAGTAGAGATGAGGTTTCACCATGTTGGTCATGCTGGTCTCAAACTCCTGACCTCGTTATCCACCCACCTCAGCCTCCCAAAGGGCTGGGATTACAGGCGTGACCCACTGTGTCCAGCCTCCATTGTTCAGTTTTAGTCATGCGGATCAAAAAGAAGCTGGAGAGTATTTGTATTAAACTCCTTAGCTAAGGTGTGGCTGTCTTGGATTCAGACAGGACTAAGGGTTTCCCACTGAATCCAGTGTCTCCGGTTAAATGTTTACAATGATTCAGTCTAGCTTTCACAATTTTTATGAATGAAAGGCATTAAAGGCTGAACTAGTCCAGGACTACTGATTTTTATCTATTAGGCTAACCATTTGATTCAGGCTGTCGTGGGTTGTATGCCTCATTGTGGACAGCTGTTCAGCTGTGACTGGATCAGTGTTCTGCTGGTACCATGCAGGAGAGGACCTGGTTGGCGAAGCATCCCCCTTAGAAGGCAGGTTAGGAATGTGCTTCATCCCTAGTGAGAATGTGAGAGAAAATGGCATGAGTATGGAAGGTACCGTCATTTCAAATACTAAAATGTTGCAGTAGGAGGGCAAAGTTTTCTTTTTTTTTTTTTTTTTTTTTTTCGTTTTTTTTGTGACACGGTCTCACTCCATTGCCTAGGCTGGAGTGCAGTGGCTCAATCTTGGCTCACTGCAACCTTCACCTCCTTGGTTCAAGCAATTCTCTCAGCCTCCTGAGTTACTGGGATTACAGGCATGCGCCATAACACCCAGCTAATTTTTGTATTTTTTGGTAGAGACGGTTTCATCATGTTGGCCAGGTTGGTCTCAAACTCCTGACCTCAAGTGATCCGCCTGACTTAGTGGGATTATAGGCATGAGCCTCCACACTCAGCCCAAGATTTCTGTTTGAGACAGAGTCTTACTCTGTGTCACCCAGGCTGAAGTGCAGTGGCACGATCTTGGCTCACAACCTCTGTCTGCCAGGCTCAAGTGATTCTCCTGCTTCAGCCTCCCAAGTAGCTGGGACTACAGGCAGATACCACCACATCCGGCTGATTTTTTTGTATTTCTAGTAGACATGGGGTTTTACCATGTTAGCCAGTTTGGTCTCGATCTCCTGACCTTGTGATCCACCTAAAAGTGCTAGGATTACATGCGTGAGCCCCACTACACCTGGCCTTTTTTTTTTTTTTTTTTTTTTTTTTTTTTTTTTTTTTTTTTTTTTGGAGACAGTCTCTGTCACCCAAGCTGGAGTGCAGTGGCGAGATCTTGGCTCACTGCAGCCTCTGCCTCCTGGATTTGATCTCCTGCCTCGGCCTCCTGCTGGGACTACAAGCATGTGCCACTACGCCCAGCTAATTTTCTTATTTTTTAGTAAATACGGGGTTTCACCACACTGGTCAGGCTGGTGACCCCTGACTGATCCACTCGCCCGTCTCTGCCTCCCAAAGTGTTGAGGTTACAGGCAGGAGCCACCGCACACCCAATAGTAACATTCTTTCCTAAACAAGCCACAGGTGTTTGTAAAGTTCCTGTCTAGCCCTAGAAGCAAGACTGAATTTGTTGCCCTTTTTAAGTTTTCAATCATAATAGCTGGGTGTTCTGACCACGAAAGTAACTGCTTGAGAATCGAGAAAAGGGAAGTTAAACTTCCTCTCCACATGACTGGGGATGAAATGGGGTGTTTCTAATTGGGTGAAAGTGCTCAGGAAATCTGGAATAAAGAGAAGCATCTGGTTTTGTGACAGCTTTGGGCTGACCCCAAGGAAGCATGAAGTATTTTCGTGAGGTCCCCTAGGCAGTGAGAAAATGGCCTAAGGGCCCTGGACACCCTCAACCTCACCATCGACCAGTTCCAGGGGGTGAGGCGGTGCCTGCCACCCTTTCCTGGAGTACTTGGGTACTACCCTAAATGGTTATGGGGAAGTGTTCATCTGTCACGCAGCTGACTGACACCCCATGGTTTTCGGTCAGCTGCCGAAGTAAGTTGGGGCCAGTGATAACACCTGCTCAGCTAAGCCTGGTCACTTGTTCCTTCAGCAGCATCCTGGTCGGTGCAACCTCGTCTTCCTTCACATGGTCCCAATAGGTCTTCCTGGTGATACCAGGTTCTTGGATGAAGAGAGAAAAGGTCCCAAACGCTTCCCTAGGATCCCTGTGGAGATGGCCAAGTCTATACCACAAGCTAGTGCTGGGTGTAGGTCCAGCGTGCTCTGGCAATGATAGACCCTAGGAATTTGTGAGGAAAGATAGGCTCAGAGCAAGGGAAGATAGGGTGGGGGAAAGAGGGGTCATGCACAGGGCAATTCAGTGACTCTAGTTCGGGTGAGGACAGACCTGTTTTCCAAGGCCCAGTAAGGGTCCACGTGATCTCTGAGTGTAGTGTGTATGTTGCTTGTTGATTGTTCTAAAGGTTCTTTGAGATGATTTTCGGGGATCTCTGGCATATCCGTCAGGTTAAACTCCACAGTTTTCTTCCTCACGGGAGAGACTTCTGGGTGCTCCATCAAGGCCCCATCGCTCTCTGAGAGCAATTCAAAACTTTTCTTGGCCCCAGAACTCGCAGTCTTTAAGCTTTTGTCTTTGGTGTCTATACCTGTGACACTGTGAAGCTTCGACGGTGCTGATGGTTCAGGGGGGAAGAACATGGGTGTGGGGCTGAGGGGTGTCTGTGGAGCACTGTAGTAGCCTGGCCTCTGATACAGTGGAGCAGACTTGAAGGCGTCCACAGCCTTAAGCTTCCAGGCCTTATTGTCTTCCTGGCCCCTAAGGTTCTGTTTGGCTGCCTTGTGGTTTTTGGGCAGGCCCTCATGAAGAAGGGATTCCCTCTTGGGCCACAGTAGTTTAGTCCTTGAGTTTGTCCTGGGAGGCTGATGATCATGGGACTGTAGCCCTAGGAAGCGGCCAATGATGCCAGCGTGAGCATCCTCCTCATCCTCTTGATTGGGCTGGAACTCCATCTCCTCTTTGCTCAGGCTGGAAAGAAGCAGGAGATACAGGGCTGAGCAGGTGGACAGAAGACCAATTCCTGGCCTTATTTGTCCCTTACCTCCTCCTCTCTCTCCGCTGTTCCAAACCAAGGCCACACAATGCCCCAGCTCTCACCTCTCTACTGGTCCCTCTGTACCTCCTGGAGGTGACCCCTCCAGGCCCGGCTCACCTCACTGTTCTTTGACTCCCTCTTGACCAGAGTTAACATCCAACTCCCACCCCCACCCCGCCACCCCCCACCTAGCATGTAAAGGCCTCCTCCTCATCATTCACTGCTTCCTTTAAAACCCCTCGAGCCAGGCAGTCAGAACCACTTGTCCCCTGGCATGAGTGATTCAGATCAGGCCCATGAGTGACTCTGGCAATGCCAGAGATTTGTGGTTCCAACTGGGAGTGACATCCACAAAGAGAAGTTTGGCTTCGTGGCAACAGGCATCCTGGGGGCCCAAGACCTTTACCCTGTAAGGGACAGCTTAACTGCCGCAGAGTATGGCCTGCCGTTCTCCCCATGTTCCAAGGCCCAGCTTCAGACCCGGCTGGAAGCCACCTCTCAGGCAGCCAAAGGTGACTGTGTTCCACGTTCTGTCCCTTTCCTAGACACCCAGTCCTTGTAACCTTGTATACAGAGTTTGGGGCTTGGGTTTGAGCTCCCTGTGTAAATAGCGTATTCCTTGGAGACAAGGTCTACGATTTATCGTCCTGTTTTTAGCCTCCCCCCCGCAACCTTCAGCTACTGGGGTACAGATCATGTAGGGCTCAAAGTCATCCTCCAGAAATGTTTGACTAAAGCCAGCCCTCAGCCTTCATTTGATCACCTTCCCAACCCTTACTCACACTCACTATTGACTCTAGTTAAATCTGATTGCAGTTTAGTGGGATGTTTGGTTTGTTGTTGTTGTTGTTGTTGTTGTTGTTGTTGTTAAGACGGAGTTTCACTCTTGTTACCCAGGCCGGAGTACAATGGCGCGATCTCGGCTCACCGCAACCTCTGCCTCCTGGGTTCAGGCAATTCTCCTGCCTCAGCCTCCTGAGTAGCTGGGATTACAGGCATGCACCACCATGCCCAGCTAATGTTTTGTATTTTTAGTAGAGACGGGGTTTCACCATGTTGACCAGGATGGTCTCGATCTCTTGATCCACCCGCCTCGGCCTCCCAAAGTGCTGGGATGACAGGCGTGAGCCACCGCGCCCTGCGATGTTTGGTTTTTAAAAGAACAAACAGCCGGGCGCAGTGGCTCATGCCTGTCATCCCAGCACTTTGGGAGGCTGAGGCGGGCGGATCACCTGAGGTCAGGAGTTTGGGATCAGGCTGACCAACATGGTAAAACCCTGTCTCTACTAAAAATACAAGAATTCGCCAGGCATGGTGGCAGGCACCTGTCATCCCAGCTACTCAGGAGGCTGAGGCAAAAGAATCCTTCGAACCCGGGAAGAGGAGGTTGCGGTGAGCTGAGATCACGCCACTGCACTCCTTCCTTCGTGACGGAGCAAAACTCCGTCTTAGAAAACCAACAAAACAAACAAAAATCAGCAAGTGGAGAACGGCACTGGATACTGTGGAAGAAAACCTTGAGTATAAACCCTGACGTGTGCCCAGCACTCTCCAAGGCCCTCTCAACTCTGTCATCCTGGGGAGACAGGACCAGCTGGGACAGCCCTTCAGCCCACTGCAGATCAAGAGGGATTTAGGTCGAATCAGGGCAGTGGGCCCATGTGGAGGTAAGTCTGGCTGCTGTGGGCGGCCTGAGGCCTTTACTGTGTAGGACAAAGTCAATTCAGGAGGTACCTGTGATGACATGGCTGCCTGCTGGGACATATTTGCTGCTCCTCTCCCATCCCAGGGACCCTCACTTCCACTTCCTATCCAAGCACGCATGCTTATCAGAAGACATAGTTCTGACACCTGTAATTCTAGCACTTTGGGAGGCCAAAGCAGGCAGATTACTTGAGGTCAGGAGTTCGAGACCAGCCTGGCCAACATCTGTCTCCCCTGTCTGGCCAAGCCCGTCTCTACGAAAAGTACAAAAATTAGCTGGCCATGGTGATGGGCACCTGTAATTCCAGCTATTCGGGAGGCTGAGGCAGCAGAATCACTTGAACCCAGGAGGCAGAGGTTGCAGTGAGCTGAAATCACACCACTGCACTCCAGCCTGGGTGACAGAGCAAGACCCTATCTCAAAAAAAAAAAAAAAAGAAAGAAAAGAAAAGAAAAAAGAAAATATAGTTCTGGATGACAGAAGCCAGGTCCTAATGTTCCACGGCATCACTGATCACTGGCTGTTCTTTTGGTAGCACCTGCACCATTTGCTAGCTACGTGGCCTTGGGCAACTTGCTCTCTCTGAACCTGAACCTGTACTTCCGTCATCTGAAAACTTGGGGGGAAAACAGTAGTTAATATTTATAAAAAGCATAGTACAGTGCCTCACACTTATGAGGCACCCAGTATGTATTACCTAGTGCTATTCCAAGCTCCTCGGCAGACCCCTGCTCTAGAGGGGCTTCCCACCCAGCCCCCCAGCACTGGCCACACCTGATGTTGAAGGTGGAGCCCATAAAGGAGGTTCGGCGGAACTGGGCGGAAGCAGCCGTGTAGGGAGGCTGGGGCTCGGGCTCATTCCAGTACATGTCCGGCTCCATCCGAGGCAGGTCCTGGTGCATCTCATCCACAGCAAACAGGGACACCTGGTCACCAGGGACAGAAGGAGAAGTCCCACAGAAAGGTCATGCCAGGCAGGAGCTTGTACTTGCCTGATGACTTGGGAGGAATCACTTCCCTCTCTCTGCAACTCAGTTTTCCTGCCTGTGAAATGAGGAGATGGGTGCCCGCCTGCCGCCTCAAAGATTGAGGTGAGAATCCTGTGAGTGAAGGACTGGCATCAGGAGGGAGGAGGGGAAGGGGTGATAATTCACTGTGAGGCCTCCCTGCAGAACAGTGGGGTCCTGTCTTTGGGCCCCCTTTGGGGAAGGTCCATGGTATGGCCTCTCTCCCTCTCTCCATACCTGCAAATTCCTGTCAACAATCCAGTTGGTCTCAAAATCATCATCATCCTCTCCGAAGGGGTTGATGAGCTGCTCTGCCACCTTGGGGACAGGCGAGGCTCTGTAAACCCTCAGGCAGAACTCCTCAAGGCCAGCCTCCCCCCTTAAACTCAGGGCTGCCATTTCTACACCCCATCACACCCTTCCTGCCTGACCACTGTCTTCAATGCCAGAGTTTAGGGCTCCAGCCCCCAACGCTTATGGGCACCCACACACTTCTGGGCACAGGCCCTCTGACTCTCCTGACCCAGCCCCTCTGACTCTCCTGACCCAGTCCTTTCCTGCACACCCACAGCTGTCCCTGAGTGTGTCACTCAGAGGAGTCACACCTTTATCTCACCTCATGCCTCTTTCCCTGTTGCATAATTGTATTCATTCATGCAATAGAGATACACTCTGAAGATGTAGCTGAACTAAAGGGTGGTCCAGGAGAGCAGATTCCTGGATAGTAATCTCTAAAATGCCCTAACAAAGCTCCAAAGAGGTGACAAGCTGCCTTAGGGGTCCAGGGGACATCTTGTAAGCCACTGGGCTCCTTGGAGAATTTCTTTTTTCCTTCCTTCCTTCCTTCCTTCCCTCCCTCTGTCCCTCTCTCCCCTCCCTCCTTCCCTCCTTCCCTCCTTTCCTCCTTCCCTCCTTCCCTCCTTCCTTCCTTCCTTCTCTCGCTCTGTTGCCCAGGCTGGAGTGCAATGGAGTGATCTCAGCTCACCGCAACCTCCACCTCCTGGCTTCAAGCAATTCTCCTGCCTCAGCCTCCCGAGTAGCTGGGATTACAGGCATGTGCCACCACGGGTAATTTTATATTTTTAGTAGAGATGGGGTTTCTCCATGTTGGTCAGGCTGGTCTTGAACTCCCGACCTCAGGTGATCTGCCCACCCCAGCCTCCCAAAGTGCTGGGATGACAGGCATGACCCACCTAATCCAGCTGCACCTTGGAGAATTTCAAGCATAAAAGTGTGACTTGTTTTGATTTGCAGAAACCAAAGATAACTGGGGGGCAGGTGGAATTTAGAGGAATAGGAGTGTGTGTGTGTGTGTGTGTGTGTGTGTGTGTGTGTGTGTGTGTGAGAGAGAGAGAGAGAGAGAGAGACATGGACAGGAAGGGCAGAGAGGGAGACTTCCACCCCCACTACCAAAAAAAAAGGCAGGTAGGAAGGGAGAGAGAGTGCGTGGATAACAGAAGGTAGGAAAGACAAAGAGGTAGAGAGAGCACTGTGATTCAGGACTCCCGTTCAGAGTACTGGGTGTGGTGGGAGGAAATACTAGCCACCTAAGGTGGGGAACGAGACCCCCCAACAGGCATCTTGAATAAGGAGAGGTGCTCTTTTTTGAGACAGAGTCTTGCTCTGTCACCCAGGATGGAATGCAATGGCACGATCTCGGATCACTGCAACCTCCGCCTCTTGGATTCAAGCAATTTCGGCCTCAGCCTCCCAAGTAGCTGGGATTACAAGCACCTGCCACCACGTCCGGCTAATTTTTGTGTTTTTAGTAGAGACAGGGTTTCACCATGTTGGCCAGGCTGGTCTTAAACTCCTAACCTCAGGTGATCTGCCTGCCTTGGCCTCCCCAAGTGCTGGCATTACAGGCGTGAGGCACCATGCCCAGCCTCCGGGCTTTGTTTTCAGGAGAGATGAGAAGTGGCTTCTGTCAGGTCTCCATGTGCAAGCCTGGACCCAGAAAGTCTAAAGTCCTGCCTGCCTCCACTGATCACCGCACCCTACATTGCCCAGCGGAGCTTCCACCCCCCCAACATAAGCTTCCGCTCACCCCACCCTGCCATCTTAACTGTCATTATGATAATGTGAATACTCCTCACCCCACCCTACTGTCTTAACTACTCCTATCCCACCCGCCATTGTAACTGAACTTACGGTGGTAACGGATGCTCCTTGCCCCTGCCCCACCACTGTAACTGATCTTACTCTGTAACTTTCCACTGCCCGCCCCAAACCTATAAAACCAAGTCCTATCCCACTGCCCTTCGCTGACGCCCTTTTCGGCCTCAGCTGAATAAACAGCCATGTTGCTCACATAAAGCCTGTTTGGGGGTCTCTTCATTCAAAGCCTGTGTTTTAACAGCCTCACCAGTGGGGCCTGCCATTGCCACTCCTATTCCATGAATCCCCCTTTCTCCGGACAGACGTTTGAAGAATATTCTCTTGAGGGAGCGGCACGTGGTTAGACTGAGCTCTCCCTGTCCCTCAAGCTGCTAAGTCTGGGCCTTGGGTGCAGCCTCCGGAAGCAGACCCAGGCCTCAAGAAAGCTGCCCTGTAGTCTTCGTTTCCTCATGTGTAACCACACGGGAAAGCGCAGACCGGAGGGCTGTGGTCGGGGCCCTGCTTGCTGCTTTCCACCCATGAGAACTTCCTTTCCTGACACTGCATCTTCATTTCGGGTGGCTGCTGGCCATGACCCCTCTGGCCGTGCCTCTAGCCCCGCGGGGCCCTGGAGAGGCTCACCTTCAGCCAGCCAACGTAGAAGAAGAACTGCAGGAACGTGAAGACAGGCACCACGAGGTCCAGCTCATGGCCGGGGTAGGCCTTGGCCGGGTTCAGAAACTGCCGCCCAACTAGACAAGTCAGGAAGAAGCTGTACACCGCCACGGTCACCACCTGGGAGGAGGAGGAGTGTGGCAGCAAAGAGCGAGGCAGGAACCCTGAATCAGATGCTCCTGGGGCTGGGGTCCGAGACAGGAGACCGAGGCCTTGTTCCGACTTGCACACTCATGTGACTTAGGGTCTCTGTTAACCCCTCTTTTTTATTTTTTATTTTTATTTTTTTTTGAGACAGAGTCTTACTCTGTTACCCAGGCTGGAGTGCAATGGCGTGATCTCAGCTCACTGCAACTTCCACCTCCTGGGTTCAAGCAAGTCTCCTGCCTCAGCCTCCTGAGTAGCTGGGATTACAGGCATGTGCCACCATGCTCAGCTAATTTTTGTATTTTTGGTAGACACCAGGTTTTGCCATATTGGCCAGGCTGGTCTCCAACTCCTGACCTCAGTGAGGAGTACGCCTGCCTCAGCCTCCCAATGTGCTGGGTTTACAGGTGTGAGCCACTGTGCCCGGCCAACCTCTCTTTAAAATGGGAATAATCACACTGTGTCTACTGAGCCAGGCAGGAGCCTGGACTCTTAGAATTCTCTCAGCACTTCAAAGTCCAGGCCCAACTGCCAGGGGGAGCAATTTACTCAGCCTCTAGGTGAGCCTTTCCCACCCCTGCTGCTTCCTTGGTCCTTCTAGCCTCAGTTTCCCAAAGGGGCAGCCTCACTAGCCTCGTCCTCACCTGTGTATACACCAGTGGGATACTAATCCAGTCGTAGGCATACAGGTGTCCACACTGAGTGCGCAAGGTGTTCATCTCCTGGAGGCGGCAGGGAGGGATGGGGTTCTGAACACCACCTGCCCCCACCCGGGACTTGCTCCCACCCTGGGCTCACCTCCACCTCTTCTCCAGGCACCAGGGTCTGGTGCTCATGGTCCATCCCTGGCTGTGTGGTCATGGGCAGCTCACTAAACCTCTTTGTGTCTCAGCTTCCTTATCTATCGAAAAGGAGCCAGGACCTCACAGCCTGGGAGAGGAGGGAGGGGCCTATGAGGAGGGACCACCTTGGGCTATGGAATGCTGTTGGAAAAGATTCTGCAACCCTACCTCAGGCTCAGGGAAGACCCTTGAGGGCTCGAGCCTTCTCTTCGTAGGAAACCTTGTTTCCTGTGGACCCCAACACTTCCCACCCTGAGGCAGCCCTGTGTGTACAGCGGGCTCACGTTCAGCAGGCTCTGGAGCAGTATAGGGTCCCGGATTCGACCTCCAAGCCACGCCTTCATTGACAGGTTGGCAAACCACACCCAAGGCACCCAGAACATGTTGTGTGGTAAGCTCAGTTTCTCCAACTGCTTGTGTTCTGCTGGGGTCATAAAGCCTGCAGAGTGGAGTGAAGAAGGCGGTGGGAGGGAGAACCTGCAGGAGCCACGTGGCTGGCACCTGGTGGCCAGGCCAGGACCTGCGGACCTCTACAGACCTCAGCATTCCTTTGCCGTCTTCTTTCTTTCAACAACAACAAAAAATTCTGAGCACCTACTATGTGCTATTCTGGGCTGAGCATGTGGGCAGGGGATTTATTTATTTATTATTAATTTATTTCCAGAGACAGGGTCTGGCTCTGTCACCCAGGTTGGAGTGCAGTGGTGCGATCTAGCTTGCTGCAGCCTGGAACTCCTGGGCTCAAGTGAGCCTCCTGCCTCAGTTTCCCGATCTTTAGCCTCAGACTACAGGCACATGCCACCATGCCCGTAGTGTGCCTGTACACTGAGCCCACCGTAGTGACACATGCCACCATGCCCGGCTAATTTTTAATGTTTTTGTAGAGATAGGGGTTTCACTATGTTGCCCAGGGAAGTCTCAAACTTTTGGGCCCAAGGGATCTTCCCACCTTTGCCTCCCAAAGCGCCGGGATTACAGGCGACAGTCACCACGCTTAGCCTGGATCTGTCTTATTAACTAGGACCAGGTCACGCAAGGCCGGGGGGGAGTCAGAGACAGATGTGGCAGACCTCCAGAGTGGAAACCGGAGATGAGGAGGGGCACGGGCAGAGGGAGGTAGAACCTAGGACCTCACCAGCTCCCAAGCCGCCACCCTTCTTTCCCTTATCCCTCAAGGGTCCTTGGCCCTGCCCCAAACTCCCACTCTCGGAGAGTGGGCTCCTGGCCTCGCCCCACCTTTAGACACCCAACTCTATCCCACCCAATTAGACCCCTAAATCTTGCCCCCGCCCCCGCTCCTATGTCCACCCAATGCCGCCCTCCACAGTCCAGGGGACGTTGGCTCCACCCATCTTCCATTCCGGCCACGCCCATCTCCACCCTGGCCCCGCCCCGTTCCTCCCAGTCGCCCCCGCCCCGCCCACCTGCTTGCACCAGGTGCTGGGCGCTGGGGAAGCGCTTGTAGACCGCGGTGCTGACGCTGCGCAGGATGAGCACGTTGCCCAGGTTGGCGTAGCGGATGAGCGTGCGCCGCAGCAGCCGGCCCTGCTCGTCCTTGCCTTCGACGAAGCCCGACACCAGGCTCATGAGGCGGTCTGGCCATGGCAGGTTCTCATACTGGTTCCACCAGCGGGTCACGACCAGCGTCACGTAGAAGCCTGGGCAGGAGGGGCGGGGGGCGAGGGGCCGGGCTGCGGCCAGAGCCCGCCCGGGGCCCAGCTCCTCCAGCTTTCTGCTGCGGGCGGGCCTAGCCCCAGCGCGAGAGCCCTAAGGGTTCCGTCTCCCGGAGGTCCCCCTGCTGGTCCCAGAAATCGGCCAGAGCCTCTCCCCTCCCGCTCAGGGGCTCCAGGGACCATGATGTCAGCGCTCCCTAACAGCAGGACGTCTTACCTAACGTCTAACTGCAGTCTCTCTGGCTGCAGTCCGCACGTTTACCTGAACTACAGAGAGGCGCCGACCTGCGGCTGGCGTCCCCCCAGCCTCCACCCCAGCCCCTAGACCCAGCTCTTTGTGGTCCACCCCTGGCCTGTCTGGAGCCTGGGCGGCCACAGGGAGCCGGAACAGCAGGAAGGGGGGGCTCACCCAGCACGAAGGAAATGGGGATGAGCTGGATGTAGCTGTCGCAATACAGAGTCAGCTTCTCAAACATCAGCTGCTGCTCCTCCGTGAGGGCCAGCCTGGGGGTGGGGGTGGGGTGGACATGTGTGGACGCAGCGAGGAGATGGCTGAGGCTGTCCCCAGGTCTAGCCCGACCCTGGGTAGGAGTGGGACTGCCTCGATGCTGTCCCACCTTTTCCCCAGCCCAGGGCCCCTCCTGAGGCCTGAGCCAGGTCCATGATACTCCTTGTGCAGCCACAAACCTGAACAGGCTAGAGGCCCGCTCCAGTGGTTTCTTATGACGAGAATCCTCACACTGGCCACTGGGAGGTGTGTAGAAAGGAAGGTCCTGCTGCAGGGGTCAGTTTCAGACACCCTGACCCTTTGAAAGCAGCCAAGGGTCAGTTGTTTAAAAGCAGGTCGAGGTCCGGCGCAGTGGCTCACACCTGTAATCTCAGCACTTTGGGAGGCCTTGGTGGGCAAATCACTTGAGGTCGGGAGTTCGAGACCAGCCTGGCCAACATGGTGAAACCCCATCTCTTAAAAAAAAAAAAAGCAGGTTGAAACAGTGGTTCAAGCCTGTAATCCCAGAGCTCTGGGAGGCTGAGGCAGGACCAGGAGTTCAAGGCCAGGCTGGGCAACATAGCAAGACCCCATCTCTACAAAAAATTAACCCGGTGGGGTAGCCGCATGGCTGCAGTCCTAGCCCCTGGAGGCTGAGGTAGGAGGATCACTTGAGCCTAGGAGTTGAAGGCTGCAGTGGGCCGTGGTTACCACTGCACTTCAGCCTGGATGACAGAGCGAAACCGTCTCTAAAATCAAAAAAGAAAAAAGAAACAAAGACTGTCTGGCTTTAATGAGAGGGGTGAATAACCATGCAGAGGATTTTGTTAGAGCAGTGAAACCACTCTGCCTGATGCTTCGATGGTGGAAACATCATTACACATTTATCCAAACCCACGGAACATACAGCCCCAAGAGTGTATGCTGCTGTATGCTATAGACTTTGGGTGATAGTGATATGTCAATGTGGGTTCAGGGACTGTAATAAATCTACTGCTGTAGTGTGGGGTGTTGATAGGGGGAAGGCTGGGGGCAGGGGGAGGAGGAAAGAGACATATGAGAACTCTACCTTCTGCTCAATTTTGCTGTGAACTTAAAACTGCTCTAAAAACTGAAGTCTGACATTTTTCAGCGTACATAGGTGCCCAAGTAAAAACCGAGGACCAATGTGCTTTGCTGTTAGGATTATGAGGAACTCAAGAATTTTATGCCTTTGATGTTTTACAATCCATTGTAGTCATTAGTGCTTTTTCAATTTAAAATGCTGTCTATATTTTGTGATTATATCTGTTTAAACGTTTTTGGTTTATTGTTGTTTTGTTGGTTTTGTTTTGTTTGAGACAGGATCTTGCTCTGTTACCCAGGCTCGAGTGCAGTGGCACGATCATGACTCACTGCAGCCTCAGCCTCCTGAGCTCAAGCAATCCTCCTGCTTCAGCCTCCTGAGTAGCTGGGAGGGACTACAGGCATAAGCCACCATGCTCAGATAATTTTTAATTTTTTATATAGAGACAGGATCTCCCTATGTTGCTCAGGCTGGTCCTAAACTCTTGGGCTTAAGTGATCCTCCTGCCTTGGCCTCTCAAAGTGCTAGGATTACAGGCATCAGCCAGTGCCTGGCCCTAACTTTTAAAAAAGTACATTGGTGCCCTAGTGAAAACAAAATGTGCTTTGTTCCTAGCATTATTAGGATCTCAAGAATTTTATGTATTTGGTATTTTACAATCCATGTAATCATGAATGCTTTTTCAGTTTAAAATACTATCATATATTCTGTGATTATATCATATAGTCTGTGGTAGCTGGGACTACAGGCACATGCCAAACACCCGGCTAATTTTTGTATTTTTAGTAGAGACGGGGTTCCACCATGTTGGCCAGGATGGTCTCCATCTCTTGACCTCGTGATCCACCCGCCTTGGTCTCCCAAAGTGCTGGGATCACAGGTGTGAGCCACCGTGTCTGGCCCAGAGAAACATTATTTTGTTTGCTTTTCTTTCTTTTTTTTTTTTTCTTTTCTGAGATGGAGTTTTGCTCTTGTTGCCCAGCCTGGAATGCAGTGGCATGATCTCGGCTCACCACAACCTCTGCCTCCCGGGTTCAAGCCATTCTCCTGCTTCAATCTCACACGTAGCTGGTATTACAGGCATATACCACCATACCCGGCTAATTTTTTTGTATTTTTAGTAGAGATGGGGTTTCTCCGTGTTGGGCAGGCTGATCTCGAACTCCTGACCTCAGGTGATCTGCCCGCTTCAGCCTCCCAACGTGCTGGGATTACAGGCATAAGCCACGAACCTGGCTTTTTGTTTGCTTTTGAGAGAATGGCTTAAGCATGTGAGGTTGAGGCTGCAGTGAACAATGGTTCCAGCCTCCCAAGTAGCTGGGACCAAAGGCAAATGCCACCACTCTCAGCTAATTTTTAAAATTTTTGGTAGAGATGGGATTTCACTATGTTGCCTAAGCTGAACTTCTAGGCTCAAGTGATCCTCCAAACTTGGCCTCTCAAAGTGCTGGGATTATAGACATGAGTCACTGCTACTGGCCTTAGATAAACATTTTAATTAAAAAATAATTTTTAAAATATACCATGTGGGCCAGGCCTGGTGGCTGACACCTGTAATCCTAGCACTTTGGGAGGCCGAGGTGGGCAGATTACTTGAGGTCAGGGGTTCGAGACCAGCCTGGCCAACATGACAAAATGCTGTCTACTAAAAATATATTTAAAAAAAAAAATTAGCCAGATGTGGTGGTGTGTGCCTATAATTCTAGCTACTCAGGAGGCTAAGGCAGGAGAGTCACTTGAACATGGGAGACAGAGGTTGCAGTGAGCCAAGATCACACCTACTGCATTCACTAGGTGACAGTGAGACCCTGTCTCAAAAAACAAACAAGCAAAAAGTACCATGTGGTCAGCCAGGTGCGGTGGCTCATATCCATGGTCCCAGCACGTTGGGAAGCTGAGGCAGGAGGATTGCTTGAGCCTAGGAGCTCGAGACCAGCCTGGACAACACAGTGAAACTCTGTCTCTCTCTTTGTTTTGTTTGTTTGTTTGTTTGTTTGTTGAGACAATTTTGTTCTTGTTGCCCAGACTGGAGTGCAATGGCACAATCTCGGCTCACCGCAACCTCTGCCTCCTGGCTTCAAGTGATTCTCCTGCCTCAGCCTCCAAAGTAGCTGGGATTACAGGCATGCACTACCATGCCCAGCTAATTTTGTACTTTTAGTAGACAGGGTTTCTCCATGTTGATCAGGCTGGTCTCGAACCAGGTGATCTGCCCCCCTTGGCCTCCCGAAGTGCTGGGATTACAGGCGTGAGCCACCGTGCTGGCCTCTCTCTTTGTTTTTATGTACCATGTGGGCCTCTGAGTCTGTGTGGGATTCAATAAAACAGGCCATTTGAGTGGGGCTAGGCAAAGCCTGGGCTCCCGGGCTCCTCCCAGAGTTGGAGGGAGGGTGGCTAAAACCCTGCTGGCTGGGTTGAGCAGCCTCTCAGTCTGACTTCTTTTCTCTCCACAGCCCCCAGCCCCAGCCTCAGCTCCAGTGCCCAGGACCTGGTTAGGAGCTCAGCTTAGTCTTGTAGTGAACTGGTACATTGGCCCCCAGCTGTCAGAAGCCCCCAGGGGCTCCCAGCCCCAGCCACATCCCTCCCAGACCCTCTGCCCCAGCCCTGCCAGCTTTACCTATAAATGAAGCGGATAATGTAGTAGCAGAGCAGGAAAATGAAGAACTCTCCATACAGCAGCTTGTAGATGCTGCCCCGCCAGCACAGCAGCAGGCGGGAGAATGAGCCTAAGCGAGCATTAGCCACTTGGCTTGTGTAGGTGATGGTCATGGCCAGGCACTGGGCTGCAGCAGCTGGGCTTGGGTCCTGGTAGACAGCGAGAGATGCTGATTGGGGGCTGGTAGGGATCAGAAGCCCTGGTCAGAGCCTGTCAGAACCCCTCCCTGCTCTGGGTCTCAGCTCTCCCATAGGGACCCAGGAGGTGGATGAAGTGGTCTCCAAGGCCCTGCCAGCTCTGACAGCCTGTTGAAGGTGGAAAACCAAGAAAGTGAGCCCAGAGGCTGCCCAGAGCCTTCAGGGAAGACGTAGATAGGTGTGTGCGTTGCCATGTGCCTTTAATTTTGTATGATTGCCAGGCACGGTGGCTCGTACCTGTAGTTCCAGCACTTTGGGAAGCCAAGATAGGTGGATCACCTGAGGCCAGGAGTTCGAGACCAGCCTGGCCAACATGGCAAAACCCCATTTCTACTAAAAATACAAAAATTTAGCTGGGTATGATACAGGTGCCTATAATCCTAGCTACTCGGGAGGCTGAGGTAGGAGAACTGCTTGAACCTGGGAGGTGGAGGTTGCAGTGAGCAGAGATCATGCCACTGGGCGCAGTGGCTCATGCCAATTATCTCAACACTTTGAGAGGCCGAGGCGGGCGGATCACAAGGTCAGGAGACCGAGACCACCTTGGCTAACATTGTGAAACCCCACCTCTAAAAAAAAATTGTATAATGACAAAGGCAGTAGTAACAGCGGCAATGTCTATACACTGAGCTCGGGTCCTTTGAGCTAGGCAGTGTTCTTAGCCCATCTTGTTCATTAGCTCCCAAGCTCTCGTAACCACCCTACTGTGAGAATTATGGAAGGGGCTAGGCAGCGCTGTCCACCACCGTATTCCCATTCCCAGAACCGAACCTAGCTGGTAGAGATGCTCAATGTTTACTGAATGGTGGCCCCAGGGCCTTTCCACCTGCTGATCTTCCTGCCTGGAGGAAGCTCTACCTGAGATACCTGGATGGCTCCTTCCCATTCCAGGTTACCTTTAGAGAGGATGTCCCCAGCTGGGCACGGTGGCTCACACCTGGAATCTCAGCACTTTGGGAGGCCAAGGCGGGCAGATCATGAGATCAGGAGTTTGAGACCAGCCTGGCCAGGTTGGTGAAAACCCATCTCTACTCAACATACAAAAAATTAGCTGGGCGTGGTGGCATGCACCTGTAATCCCAGCTACTCGGCAGGCTGAGGCAGGAGAATTGCTTGAACCCAGGAAGGGGAGGCTGCAGTGAGCCAATATCACGACATTGCACTCCAGCCTGGGTAATGGGGTGAGACTCTGTCTCAGGGAAAAAAAAAAAAAAAAAAAAGACAAGATGTTCCCAACCATCCTTCCTGGAAATAGAGCCCCAGTGCCACTGGTGCTCACTGTCTCCTTGCCTTGCTTGATATTTCTATATAGCACTTATCACTACTTGAAATTAAACAGAATACCTGCCTGTTTATGGCCTGTTTCCTCCTCAGAATGGAAGCTCCTCCTTTGTGTTCTCATAGAGGGCGCTTGATGAACATTTACTGAAGCAGTGATTGATGTCCCCTCCATTCTTTCCCCATGTGTTTTGGCTGCAGCTACACTGGCTGGCTGTGCCTAATGCACACCAAGCTCATTCCCACCTCAGGGACTTTGCACAGACACACAAGTGCCCACACACGCATGTGTTGCCTGTGTGTGCACATCCCACACACATAAGCAAGGCGGCCATCCAACCCTGAACTCCTCAAAGCTCCAGCCCAGTCTAACTGGGTCCCCTTCTACTCACAGGTGGGTTCCAGGCTGGTCCGGTGATCCCACAGAAGGTCTGGCCACTAGGCTGGTGGGACTCCCTGGGACTCTGTGGCCAGTGCCCCTGTCCACACTTAGAGGCTGGCACTGCCCACGTGAGGGCTGAGCTGTCACTTGACTCCCTAAGCCAAAGCCTCCACAAAGGAGCCCTTGTCTTGGTCCCTCCTTGTAATCTGCTCAGAAGCAATGGCCAGCACAGCCTGGCCAGGGCCCCGCTAATTTCTTCTTGGGGGGCATTGGGCTGAGACCAGGACTGGAACTTTGGGCAACACTTCCTCTACCATGGCCCTAAAATCCAGAGGTTGAGGGATCTGCTCCACCAGTATGCTGACCCCTGAGGGAGTTGGGGGGCTGTGCTGAGCCTCAACTCCTTCCTGGAGTGCTCTGACTCCTCGCTGGAGTGCCTTGACTCTCCAGGGAGGAGGAGCCTCTGCCCAGGCCCTGGGGTCTTTGACAGCCCTGTGAGCTGTGGAAAGAATGAATACTGGGCTGCAGTCAGAAGTCCTGGTTTCTGGTCCCAGCCTTGCCACCTGTGTGTAGTGACCCTGGGTGGGTTTCAGCTCCTCTTTCAGCCTCAGTGCCCTTATCTGAAAAGGATGGTGTTGCTTGGGAATCTCATCATCCTAGTAGAATGACAGAATTCTGCATATACTGGTGAGGAGCTCTGATTGGCTGCTGGTGACATCATATATTATTCTAGCTGTGATTGGTTGGCAGGGTCCATTAATAGCTTGCCTCAGGTAGGTGGAAGAGTAGCTTTCAGGGGCTCTTGAGGTGGGGAGGTGGGGAAGTGGGGAGGGCGGGGGCGGGGGTGAGTCTTGTGGGGGTTGACAGAGCAGCCTTGGAGTTTATGGTGCCGGCTTCCAGCCAGCCAGTGCAATGTGGGGATATGTGCCCACATCCCCAAGGGCAGCTGGTGAAAATCTCAGCATGTGATTCAATTTTAATACATCAGTCTATACTCAAGGGCTCTCCTAAGCTGCTGAGAGTGATGGGTGTCTACCTACACACTCTTGTACTGTTCAATGAAGAGAGCAGCGCTCCAGGCAGCAGTGGTACTTGGTCTTTAGTGGCCATAAGAATTGCCCAAATGTTTATTAAAGGTGCAGTTTTTGTTTTTGTTTTTTTTCCCTAGACGGAGTCTTGCTCTGTCGCCCAGGCTGGAGTACAGCGGCACGATCTCGGCTCACTGCAACCTCTCCCTTCTGGGTTCAAGCGATTCTCCTGCCTCAGCCTCCCGAGTAGCTAGGATTACAGGCGTCCGTCACCACGTCCAGTTAATTTTTTTTTTTTTGTATTTTTAGTAGAGGTGGGGTTTCACCATGTTGGCCATGCTGGTCTCGAACTCCTGACCTCGTGATTCACCTGCTTCAGCCTCCCAAAGTGCTGTGATTACAGACGTGAGCCACCATCCCTGGCCTGTTTTTTTTTTTTTTTTTAAATCTTTCTCCAGAATCTGAGTCTGTGACCTTAGGGATGTTGCATTTTAATCAAGCACTGCAGGGAATTATGATGTGTGTGGTCTTAGAACCACACTTCCGGAAGCCCTGCTTTCTAATATGACCTTGTGCCTTAAAATAAACCCACTCTCATCCTCCCTTTCCTGTCACCCTCTCTCTGAAATGTACTAGGCATTAACTATGCTGAGATTGCAGGTGATTTTTGTACACACTTTTTTTTTTTTTTTAAGTTCTGGGATACATGTGCAGAACGTGCAGGTTTGTTACATCGGTATACATGTGCCATGGTGGTTTGCTGCACTTATCAACCCATCATCTAGGTTTTAAGCCCCCTATGCATTAGGCATTTGTCTTAATGCTCTCCCTCTCCTTGTCCCCCACCACCACACACAACTTTGGCCTTTATATAATTATCTGCCTAGAAAAAAACACTATTTCACAATGATCTTGAATACTTTTCTAATCATGGCAAACAATAAAGCTGTTGTTATTATAAGAATCTCTTTAGAGACAGCCTTGTAGGAGTATTTACTTCCTCCTCACTGCCTCATTGTTATCCTCAACTGAAATGGGAAAGAAGTTAGTTCACTTCAGCCTCAGTCTCCTCATATGCAAAGTCGGGGGGACAATGGTGCCTATGTTGGCAGCCGAGTGAGAATGAAGGATGAGATGTGTCCGTCAACTCTGCAAACCAGTGGCTCTCATGCCTGCCAGCCCATTAACTTTTCTTGGTGTGGCGAACCACTGGTGTCTGTGCCCGACCCCTACGAATTCCGATTGGATGGGTCTGGATGGACCCCAGAGGTTGGGGTTGTTCAGATTCTCCAGGTGATTCTAATTTTACGGCCTGGGCTGAGTCACTGCTGTAAGGGATCAATTCCCTACCCTGTATTCCCTCTTCCCCACCAATACATTCTGGGACTCAAGAGAGAGCTTTCCACTTAGAAAATGATTAATAGATAAATATATGTTACATATAAATAAATGTTAATATATTATATATGTCTATAATGTTACAAATATATTTATGTGTATAAACATATGTATACATATGTATATATTTTTGAGACAAGGTCACCCAGGCTGAAGTGCAATGGTGTGATTTTGGCTCATTGCAACCTCCACTTCCCAGGCTCAAGAAATCCTCCCACCTCAGTCTCTCAAGTCACTGGGACTACGGGCACATGTCATCATACCCAGAAATTATTATTAGTTTTTTTTGTTGTTGTTTGTTTTTGTTTTTTTTTTTGGCAGAGACAAGGTCTCACTACATTACCCAGGCTGTCTCAAACTCTAGGTTCAAACAATCCTCCCACCTAAGCCAAAGTGCTGGGATTACAGGTGTGAGCCATCACACTCAGCCAATAACTATGTTTTAACTATAGTTAAAACACGTGCCTGGCACTGTGCCTGGAACGCTGGTGCTCATTCCGTACTCTACAGAGAAATAAATGAAAATCCTACCTTTGTGGAGACAAGTTCTTGCCTTCCCCGTGGTGGCCACTAGAGGGCGTGCTCTACTAGCTGGCTCTGGCTGGGGAAGCCTGGTTCACTGGTCAGGATCAGTGTAGACCAGGGAGCGGGCACTCCTTCATCTCCCTGACCCCAACCAGCACCCGTAGAGGCATGAGAGGGAGTTGGAGACACTGGAGCCCTTCCTCCCTGTTCCCTGAACCACAGTCCCCTCGGCAATATCCCAGAAGTCCCACCAGGACCATCGGCAGAGCATACCCAGTCTCCCTTCCCCTCCCAGAGGCCCCAGCATGTCCCCAGAGACATCCCATGAGCAGCTGCTCCTGGCCCTGCCCCAGAGCTGAGACGGACACACCCTGGCACCAAGTCATGGTCTCTCCTACTGGGTCTCAGCCATGAAAATGCCCCACCTAGCCAGGCATGGCTCAGGCACACAGCAAAGTCATGAGTGCTGGCTGATCCAAGCCATGCATGGACAGAGGGCCCAGGATTCACTCCTGTAGAGATGGCACTCAACCCAGGCAAGGTCACCCCTCTTCTACTTTCTGTTCCGCAAAGACATCATTCGCTAAGCCATTTCTCCTTCCAGAACTGAGCCTAATCTGATTCCCGCCTCTACGTATTCATAGTAAAAAATTATGGAAACAAATAACTCTAACACAGAATGGCAAGGCCTAAGATCTGTGCCAAATGCACAGAGGTCAGGGAAATCTTTACAGACAAGGGGGCATTTGAGTTGAGTCTTGAAGTGTGAGTAGGAGTTCACGGAGCTGAGAAGAACGGGAGAGCATTACATATCAGGGGAACAACCCATGGAGAGTCGTAGAAGTATTACTGAAGGATGGTTCTGTATGGCATGTTTATCCACAGTTACTGAGGAGGACACTGAAGTTCAAGGCCTGCCTTGTCCAAGGTCACACAGCTATAGATGGCTTGAGACTGAAATCTAGGTCTTTTCATTTTGGATCCTGGGCCCTTTCCCACTATCAGCTCTACAGTAGAGGTCACTTTCTGAGACATAGAGTCTTACCTGCTAGGATAGTGGTCTCTGTTGGGGTCGAAGGGAGGTCCAAGGGATGGGGCCTGCATAGAAGAGACTTTTTTTTTTTTTTGAGATGGAGTCTTGCTCTGTTGCCCAGGCTGGAGTGTAGTGGGATGATCTTGGCTCACTGCAACTTCTGCCTCCTTGATTCAAGTGATTTCCAGCTAATTTTCATATTTAGAGACAGGGTTTCGCCATGTTGGCCGGGCTGGTCTTGAACTCCTGACCTCAAGTGATCCACTCGCCTCGGCTTCCCAAAGTGCTAGGATTGCAGGCATGAGCCACTGTGCCTGGCCACATGGAAGAGACTTTGGCTACAGCAGATTCCATGCTCTTGAGCCCCCCAGCAGAGAGCCATCTGGGGGGCAGCAGAGCAGGGCTGGAGGGATGGGTGGAGGTGTCAAGCACAGAATGCTATGGCCCTCTCACCTAGGATCACCATGGCAACAGGAGCATCACAAAGGGCCTGCCATGATGCCCTTCCAGGCTCTGCCTCAGCCAGGCAGGAAGAAGAAGACCCAGCTTGGCTGGGGACAGTGGGCAGGGGGCCGTGGGGTGAGTCAGCCAGGCCTGAATGCTGCCTCCAGGCTCTATGCAGAACACCTGCCAGCCCACACCCATCTCTTGGGCCAATCACAGAACAAACAAGGCAGAGGCCAAGAAAGAAAAGAAGGGGGCTTGGCATAGTTGCAGGGATACTGCCAGTCCAGGGCCCGGAAGCCAGACAGACGACAGCATCTCCACCCTGAGCTCAGGCAGCCCTGATCCCTGCAGGGTGGAGTAGACCCAACATTCAAAGAGATGGACACATAAGCCCTGGGCACCACAGAAAGACAACAGGAGCCAGGGGAGGCAGGAGAGGCTGGGATACACCTAGGTCCAACTTCATCAAACCCGGTCCTGCCCATGACAACGGAATAGCATGGAATAGACCAGAGCCGGCCCAGCTAGAGACACGAGGCAAGAGGATTCACTGTGCTGCCGGGCCCCGCATGGACTCTGCTAGGCTGACGCCAGCCAGGTGAGGCACTGACCCTATCTACCCTCCACCCACCCCTACCCCACCAGCTCA